TGTATTGATTGTGTGAACAGTAATAACAATACTATTATTATTGTCACAAATTGTCGATTACTGTCAATACAAACACCGATTGATTGCAATAATGGTTTCAATTAAAAGCCAATTATGACTACAATTAGCAGACAATTCAAAGTGTAATTAGCGATCAAAACAGTGCTTACATTACAATGCAATGCATTTTCAATGAGTGATTGCACTGTAAATGCAAACTCTGTTTTGCAATTCACTGAATCACTGCGAAAACCCTTTTTCCAAGCGTTTCATGTGTTTGTGTTTTATGTGTCAAATATTGTCCATATATTACGACATTTATATCCACTACACATTGTGTCCCCCATTTCAGCCCTCATAACACTTATAATGCCAGAAATGGACGCAATGTTAGCCCCTCTCCGCCCATATCTAGAGTGCCGTACTTTGCGTACAATTGTTGCTTCGGATTGACGACAATAAGTGTTCATAAATAACGTAAGCGTTTGAATGAATGCATTGTTGAGCCATAGCTGTGGCCCATAAGTGATGAGTGAATGCGAATGTATGGCAATGTATGCAATGTATGGCACGACTGAAGGCATACACAATGAGAGCAATGTATTGGATGTATTGATTGTGTGAACAGTAATAACAATACTATTATTATTGTCACAAATTGTCGATTACTGTCAATACAAACACCGATTGATTGCAATAATGGTTTCAATTAAAAGCCAATTATGACTACAATTAATAGACAATTCAAAGTGTGATTCAAAGTGTAATTAGCGATCAAAACAGTGCTTACATTACAATGCAATGCATTTTCAATGAGTGATTGCACTGTAAATGCAAACTCTGTTTTGCAATTCACTTCTCACTGCGAAAACCCTTTTTCCAAGCGTTTCATGTGTTTGTGTTTTATGTGTCAAATATTGTCCGTATATTACGACACTTATAGACACTACACATTGTGTCCCCATTTCAGCCCTCATAACACTTATGATACCAGAAATGGACGCAATGTTAGCCCCTCTCCGCCCATATCTCGTGCCGTACTTTGCGTACAATTGTTGCTTCGGATTGACGACAATAAGTGCTCACAAATAACGTCAGCGTTTGAATGAATGCATTGTTGAGCCATAGCTGTGGCCCATAAGTGATGAGTGAATGCGAATGTATGGCAATGTATGCAATGTATGGCACGACTGAAGGCATACACAATGAGAGCAATGTATTGGTGTTGTTGTGATTGGCGTTCAATTTGATTGCAAACACTGTTGTCCTAAACACTCATTACAATCGCATTTACGCCACAATTAACGCCATTTCACTCATCAAACAAATGGATGGCCAATCACTTTGGACACCAACGCGACCATCACTTTAGCTGATCCGACCATTAGGTGCACGTATTTGACACATAAGTGGTGCCAAAAACACAGATATTGTGTTTAGGGAGTGGTTGTGGACTACAATCGACCGCAACATTGACCACAACCACAACAATACCGACAATAATGTCTTCGCGATCGTCGGTCTCGGAGCTGATTGTGGGCTCGAAGTATCGTTTGGTCCGTAAGATCGGTTCCGGCAGTTTTGGGACCATTTATTTGGGTATCAATACGACGAGTGGCGAAGAGGTGGCCATCAAACTGGAGAGGACTAAAGCCCGTCACCCGCAGCTGCTCTACGAGTCTAAGCTCTATCGGCTATTACAGGGCGGCGTCGGTATCCCTCGTATACTATGGTATGTCCACCACTCGCGAGTGTGTGTCTTATGTGTGGCCATCCCTAATGTGTGTTACTGTTATCCACTGATAGGTACGGTCAGGACAAGGAGTACAACGTGTTGGTGATGGAGCTGTTGGGCAAGAGTCTGGAGGAGCTGTTCAGCGCCTGCGGGCGTCAGTTCACGACGAAGACAGTGCTGATGATCGCCGACCAAATGATATCGCGCGTCGAGTTTATGCACAGCAAGAACTTCATCCATAGGGACATCAAACCCGATAACTTCCTGATGGGAATCCGACCCCAATGTCATCGACTCTTTCTCATTGACTTCGGTCTCTCCAAGAAGTACAGAGACGTGCGGACCCGCGAGCATGTGATGTATAGGGAGGGCAAGAACCTGACCG